TTAGAGTCGACACACTTTTTGCCCAAATTTAACGACTTGTTGAACGAGTTTCGGGTGTATTTGTGCGCTAAGGGGGCGCCTCCTAAGGGCTTCGAGAAGTTCTTTGAGCCCAACGGGAGTCGCGCCAAAAAAGGTGGCGATAAAAAGGCGGCCAATAGTGAGGGCCAATCGCAGCCGCCGCCGCCCAATGAGAGCTCCTCCTCCGACGCGACGCCGCCTCCCAGACAATCGCCGAAACCCTCGGCCTCGACAGCGCCGGGCGGTGGGGGTCAGCAGTCGAGCGGGAAGCCCAAGGAGTGGCGCATTGACTATAACTTCAATTTCGGCGGCAAAGACGGCAACGACAACAACCGGTGGACTAATATCGCGTTAGTGACCACTTTAGGAGTGTTAGGTACGCCTTACACCCCCACCCCCTTTGCCCGCACATACATAGCCTACTATTAAACAGGGAAACCTATTTAATGTAGCCTTGAATTGAGTATTAACTGAAATGGTATGTCACGTAACGTATGGGTAGGTCTGTTGGCGTACAACGAGATGCGGTATAAGGAGATCACGTGGAAGGAGTTCGTCAACAACTACCTGTCCCGCGGAGTCGTCGATAAGCTGGAAGTGGTGAACAAGAAGTGGGTACGCATTCGGTTCGTGGGCGGGCACGGGGGGGACGGCGCCAACGTTCTCTGGTTTAACATCGGAAGTGTGGACACGTTTGAGCGCAACCTGGAGAACATACAGCTCGAGATGAACATCGAGCCCACGAACTTTGTGCCCGTGGTCTACAAGACTGAGATGGACGGGTAGGTCCACAGAGTGTAAAGGCTGTTCGTGTTGCGTATGGTTTAGTGATTGTGTTTTGTTTGGCTGTGTTTTTGCAGGTCAAGTGCCGTGAGTTTCATACCGACGCTACTGATCATCGGTTTCCTCGTGTGGTCGATGCGCAGGGCGTCTAACGTGATGGGAGGTATGGGTAAGGCTGGCCGTAAGGGCGGCGGCATCTTCGGTATGGGCGAGTCGACCGCCAAAGTCATCAATCCGTCGGAAATTGGCGTTAAATTCCGGTTTGTTTTGAAATTTTTGTGTTTTAATGAGCGCTCACTACATATGACAGAATACTAACCGTTGTTTTTTTGTAATGCCGTTCCCAATGGACAGGGATGTCGCCGGCTGTGAGGAGGCGAAGGTGGAGATCATGGAGTTCGTCAACTTTCTCAAGAATCCGCAGCAATACCTCGATTTGGGCGCAAAGATCCCGAAGGGGGCCCTCCTTACGGGTCCGCCCGGAACGGGTAAAACACTGTTAGCCAAAGCGACAGCCGGCGAGGCGAACGTTCCCTTCATTACGGTCAGCGGTTCCGAGTTTTTGGAGATGTTTGTGGGAGTGGGGCCCTCCCGGGTGCGCGACATGTTCGCCATGGCCCGCAAGAACGCCCCCTGCATTCTGTTCATCGACGAGATCGACGCCGTGGGCCGCAAACGAGGGGGCCGTTCGTTTGGGGGGCACTCCGAACAGGAGAACACACTGAACCAGCTGTTGGTGGAAATGGATGGCTTCAACACCACGACTAATGTGGTGGTATTGGCCGCCACTAACAGATCCGATATACTCGATCAGGCGCTGCTCAGGCCCGGCAGGTTCGACCGCCAGATATTCGTGCCGCCGCCCGATATCAAGGGTCGGGCGTCTATTTTTAAGGTACAGTTCCCGCCTACTGTTCCCCTTAAGCGTTTTACAGGCGTGTAATAATCATAACCTCTGACCCCTACCCCCCTGCGAACTCCAGGTACACCTCCAGCCCCTGAAGACCGAGTTGGATAGACAGGAGACGGCGCGCAAGTTGGCGGCGCTGACGCCCGGCTTCACCGGCGCCGACATCGCCAATGTGTGTAATGAGGCGGCGCTGATAGCGGCCCGCGATCTGAACGTGACGATCGTGTTCTCGCACTTCGAGGCGGCCATCGAGCGAGTGGTGGCCGGACTCGAGAAGAAGACGCGAGTCCTGCAACCGGAGGAGAAGAAGACGGTGGCCTATCACGAGGCCGGGCACGCCGTGTGCGGCTGGTACCTCGAACACGCCGACCCCCTGCTCAAGGTGTCGATCATACCCCGGGGCATGGGTTTGGGTTACGCCCAGTATCTGCCGAAAGAGCAGTACCTGTACTCCAAGGAGCAGCTGTTCGACCGGTTGTGCATGACTTTGGGCGGTCGCGCCTCCGAGGAGGTGTTCTTCGGCCGCATTACGTCCGGAGCTCAGGACGACCTCAAGAAAGTCACCCAAAACGCCTACTCGCAGATCGTGCAGTTGGGTATGAGCGCGAAGGTCGGGCACCTGTCGTTTGATTTGCCACAACCCGGAGAGATGGTCATCGATAAGCCGTACAGCGAAGAGACGGCCCAACTCATTGACTCAGAGGTCCGGGCGCTCGTCGATAAGGCCTACCAGAGGACAGTCGCGCTCATCAACGAACGCAAAGCCGATGTCGAGAAGGTTTGTGTAGTTTTTGATGCGTTTTTGACTGTATTTGAAGTGATTTTTTAAAGTGTAGTTATTTTCTGCTGTATTTTTTATTGAGTCGTTCACTGTATTCGTGATTTTATGACAATATTCCCGTAAATTATTGAATATTTTTTTACGAGTTTTGTTGACATAATTTATAGGAATTTCACGGTTTGTTAGAAATGTATGGATTTATGTGTTTAGTGTATAATAGAGTTCAGTATTAATGATGTTTTCAAACGAGTGTTGACTGTATTATGCATTGATTTGAGTGTATTTTGCACTGAATTACAGATCGCTTTACGATTACTGGAGAAAGAGGTGCTAAACAGAGACGATATGATCGAACTGTTGGGCAAAAGACCGTTCAAAGAGAAGTCGACGTACGAGCAGTTCGTTGAGGGCACCGGTAGTCTCGATGAGGACGTATCGCTGCCCAAAGGTCTCGAGGGCTGGAATGAGACCAAACCGACCGCCAAAGCGGCCAAAGATAGCAAAAAGGAGTCGTCCGAACCGTCGCCTCCCAATTAGCGCCGGCAGTAGTCACGCGGTTATTGTTTTGTAGATTTAATCATTAAATTGAATGATATTTAAAATAATTGTATAAAAGTTTTGATGAATAAATGAACTCATTATATATATGTATTGATTGTGTATTTGATTTATAAATTTGCGTTTTATTCCTGTCAACACAAACTATTATGGCAATTAGTAGTAGCGTATTGATCTAAATAACTTTACTCATGCAATCTCATATTAATAGCAATCAAATATTTATTAGCGATATTGTCGCATTTATAAATACTGTAGAAAAAATTTATTTTTAAAATCCTTTTAACTCTTAATAACTGATAACTTAATAAACTATTGAAACACGAAAATCTTAAATCTGTAGTAAAAATATTTTTTAGCGTATGTATTAAAATTGAATTTATACGCGAATGTCCCAAAATGGGGACATACAGTATATGCCGTTTACGGCAATCTACTGGAGCTTTCGGCCCTTTAGACGCGCGATCGCCTCGAACACCATCGACGCGAGGAAGTGACAATTGGACTTGGTCACATGGTAATCCTTATTGAGCTCATCTTTCTTATAAATCCAAACAAATATATGCTGGATCGTATCCCCTTTATGTCCCTTCGTGGGAGGCCTCCCTTCCGGTTCTACACTTCCCACGCGTGCCTCACCACGGAAACTATCTCTCACAGATTTGAGAGTTTTGCCACGTTGCACCTGAATACCTTCGGCGTTTTTCTCAAACGACCAGTACCAACTCTTGGACTCTACGACCGTAAACTCGTGCCACATTCCACCCAATTTCGGTAGCCATGACGTGAAGAGGTTGTTCTTGTAGATCCGGGCGTCCACAATATTCTCCTCTGTTCCCTCGACTTCGGCGAAGTAAGTCTCCACTTCATCATCGGATATCTCGACAGGAGATTCACCCGGATTTTCTGCGTCGTCTGTAAAGTACAACTTATTTGTCCACTCACCGCCCTTTGGGCTGTCAAATTAGAAATGCCATCAAATATGCTTTCCTTTCATATGACTGTCTAGTCGTATGAGTTCTCTGAAAGCGATTTCCAATAGGATTTACTTAATCTACTCACCTTTTTAAGGACATGTTTGCTACTTTATAGCTGAATGATTTAAATAGAGCCCAATGTTCACGACAACCAGATATTGTCTCAATAAATTTCCAAACTTGGATCCACTCTATCTATTAATTTAATGACTGAATTGTTTTTTGGTCGTTTAGATTCAAGTGCTCAATTCAGTGCTTAGTAATGCTATCAATGGTATCAATGCTACCGTAATCTATAGCTCTATCATCACTATAACGCTGCATAAAACCAATGCTCTGTTTTTCATATGAATAGGATTGATGTCTGTCTTGTTATCCACTCCGTAGCGAAAGATTTAACTAAGAATTTAATGATAATTACAAAAATTAGTTAACAAACTATACAAAACTTATAAAAACACAAATCAATTACTATTTGACAAAACAATGCTGTTCAAAAATTAGCATCTTCATTACATACCTTTAAGTCATTGATCAGGTTAGGTTAGATTTTTATTATTTGTTTTGAGTATATTAAGTTGCAAAATTCTACAGTGACCTATACAATAGGCCACAATACTGTCCTAGTAGACAACCTAGCATGTACATTTTAAAAATATTTCGAAAACATACCTGTCCGTACTGGCCATTGCTTCGACCACTCCAACCACAACGAATCACCATGGTCCAGCCACTGGTCCTTCAAACACAGCATCCAGGGTTTCTGTTGTAAGTCGGTGGCGTTTTCATGAATAATAAACTTGGTCGGTTATTTGCTATCAAAATCCGACAACTGGATACCCCCTATCTCCCAGAGTGGTCACCTGTTCCGGGTCGGTATTGTGGGTGTAAATAGTAGGTTGAGTTGGCTCACTCTCAAGATTGTATCAGGGTGGTTACTTTTAACATTGTAAAGTTGTGAGCTTGGTTAATTTTAATGATTAGAAAGTTTTGTGTATAGCTTTGTAACAATATTCTGTCATTTGAATAGATATTTGGCACTATTTATATACTCGTCATAGTATATTTAACATTATTCAATTTGATTGACGCAAATGTTCCTGATGGTTATGTAACATATTCAGTACAATATCCATTATTTATTTCAATAATGAGTAATTTTATTATAAATTAAGAAACATCCTGGTTTGATATATTAATTTATTAATAAATAACACATACATTTTTCATAAAACTTACTGTAGGTAGTATATTATAAAATATTTATATATTATTAATCTATAATAAGAATTGCTAAAATAACTATATAAACTGTTTGACAAAACCCTTTGGACTCGATGTCTTAATATTACTATATGTTAGAGTTGAGCTAGATCAATATAAAATTTTTGAGAAACATGGTTTTATTGAACCAATATGTTAATATTTATGAGCGAGGTCATCATTTCCAAAAATCAGAATTCGATTATCACTTATAGTTTTTGAGATCTCGATGATCCGTTCCCCATCCCGACCCTTTTGAGCAGGCACAAATAAGGCATATTAACATATTGGTGTAATAAAACCATGTTTCTCAAAAATTTTATATTGATCTAGCTCAACTCTAACATATAGTAATAAGACATCGAGTCCAAAGGGTTTTGTCAAACAGTTTAGATTGTTAAATAGATGTAATAATAATAGTGTCTAGCAACAACAATTTTAGCAAAGCTTGTAAAAGAGAAGAGAACGGAAAGGTAGGCTGAAATGGAGGGCACTTTTAGCGCATTCAAAATCAATTTGATATGCACCCATTAAAACTGCTGATAATTTATTAATTTCTTAATTCATGCCCACCTTGTATAAACAGTATTTGTTCCCGGCTCATTTAAATTTTGCATTAACTCAATGTATTTTGGGATAATAATTTTCATACAAATTTTACAACCTTACTAATTAATTCTGCAGTAATTATATACAGTAAAATTTGTTTATTTATTATATTTCATTGGGTTGTATCGTATTGGATTAAAATCATAATACATTCATGTAATCAGCTAGCTATAAAAATTAAAATCAGTTTCAAAACTTAAAATTCAAATGTTTTAAACACTAGTTTTAAGAACTATTCCCAAATTATGGCTTTAAATCAATTTCACGGTTTGTTATGTGATATGCAGTGCTAATCGACAATAACTATACGTAGAGTTAGTTTGAAAACTTAGAAAACATTAAATTTTGTGTTTAGAAAATAGTTTTGTTTGCAATCATTGTGTGAATGCTTACAAAGAAATGAGTGGTTATTGTGTTAATAGGGAAAAGTCATGTCACGACAAAACGTGATATAATTATAGTTTTAATAGATTTTGAACTTAAACTTCATTTACTGGTTAAGCAAATGCGAGAGAGAGAGAGAGAGAGAGAGAGAGAGAGAGAGAGTTTGGTTAATAAGGTTTGAAAGAAAATTAAGTGTATTTATAAATACAAATTTAATGAATACTTAAAATATAATATAATGCAAAAATATCAGTGATATTTTATTCAACTTTTGACACACTTTTTGTCTTTTTATATTAAATCAATAAAAGTATTTATTTTCTCTCTCTTTTCATC